CTGTAACTCCATCCAAGAGGCCTTGCGAGCATTAAATTTACCTACCAGCACGAGATGCCCAATGTGGTGGTTGAAGGAGAGTAGCTGAAGGTTTTGCATGAGCGAGAAGTTGTGTTCCGGAGGAGTTGAGTCGCAAAAGTAAACGACATTAAAAGGAATACCGGACCTTTGTAGTGTATTTGAATTTACAGTGCGTTACAAAGGTGCAGTAGTGTCTGAAAAAAAAAACATCCGAATTAGGCGGAATCCTGTTGAAGTACAGGGCAGCATAACCTGCCTTCCAGCGTTTCCAGTCAGCCTGGAAAAAAGGATCAATTTTCTGCTGGGATCTCGGCCTCAGGGACGCTTAGTGTGAGCTAGATGTTTCCTAAATCGATGTAAACGTTGGGGTTTTTGATATGTAGGTAAAGAGATAACGAATAGTTTATGGACAACACGCATAAATCAACCGTTAATAGGGCTTACACACATCCAAAATTTATGACTGGCATTTGAGCACTCGAAATTGCTCAAGCCGGCTCAAATGAAACCGAACTACTGATCAACCATGTACTTTAACAAGGAGCATAGGCTGATGGCAGCTAGCCCTTGAAAGACTATACCAAAGACCAGCGTAAATTAGTGGACCACTTCGATGCATACACTGTGATTACATGGGTTGCCACTGATGTGAACGAACGAAACGAATTTGTCGTAAAACTACTTTGTTTAGTTCTTTCAGCGAACGACGGAAGTGCGGCATTTCCGCTTACTTCATCCCACCATTCTAGGAATTGACCAACGGTCTTGTGTTTCTACGCAACTAAGCCTGCAGTAAATAGCCCTATTGCCTCATTACATGTTTTACCTTGTCAAGGACTCTACAGATCAGTGTAAAATGACTTCCTCAAAGCTAGCCTCTCGGGATGTTGATAAGAACCCCGTATTTTAGCTGACATTGCCTTAGATGATGCATAAGTCAGAGGTTAGTCAAGCGGAATTTCGATTCTGCATGTTGTCTAGATTTAGCCTAGCGTTCAAGAGTTAGCAGATTTCTGTTGTCGTCTACGTGTACTGAGTTTGCTTAGTCAATGCAGAAACACTGACTGCTGGCTTCAGTGCAAGTGAGCGGAGAAGCAATGTACTAACACACTGAATAATTCATTTTCTTTTATAACACTGCGAATCACATTTTGGCAGGATGCGAGAGAGACTTTGCGTGTTTGCTAGAAATTTAAATGAATATTTGCACGTCCTGTACTTGGTTCCCCTAGGCTAACTGTCTACAAGCACTGAATATCATGAAAACTGATAGATGTTTTCTATTTTTCTGTATGCACCAAACCCAACCATCTGGAAAAGGCGTTATTGCCTTGTAAAACACAACTAATCACGGGATTCCTGATCTGATTGGTCAATCGAGAGATCAAAATTAACTTAACGACTACATCAAGTTGCTTTGACCGATTACTTTTGACGACCCTAATAAACCTCAGAATAAGCCCGCCTTTCAGCTGAAAAAAGGTGTCTTATAATACTTCACAAAGGTGGGTCACCACGCGACCATTAAGAGTGCTGTTCATTGTTTAACTCACCTGGTGATTACATTTTCATATATCCTCAAGATAGCAAGGCGATTGCAGAGTTATCCGGCCTAGTCAGGATACAGATGGCTTATTCGGCTAATTAACTACAGAAAAGCGCCAGTTTTGCGTAGGCCAACGAGGCGATAAAAAGAGGGTGATATCTTATTTGCAGCCAGCTGCTAGTTGACCGATTTACGTCAAACCCGTCTATTTTGGGACATTTAGTCGCAAAATTTAACTACTGCCATGTCATTTTATCGCCGGACAATTATCAGGGAAAGTTTATTTACGTGTATTTATTATCGTGGGTTATCTGAAAAGCATATTTGTTTTCAATTTCAGCAGGGCTAGCTGTGAATAATATGACAGTGTATGACAAAGTGTACGCTCCAGCGGTTTTAGCCGCTTTGTCCAAAATTTCCCCGCATTTTGTCATTGACTAAATCTTTAGGACAGTCATTAATACCATACGCTGCGACAGGCAACCTCTCTATTCATTTGAGATTCTCATACCATTTTCGAAATCTCGGCTGGTCACTTGCTCAATTTTCTATTAAAAATATATACTAAAATAGATTGTTCCTGATGGCGATTCAGTAATTGGTCGACATTGATATGTATACATATACATATGTATATAACANATATATATATATATATATATATATATATATATATATATTGCAAACACGGTTATTGAAGCAGGGCTTGCACCAAGTCCCTGTTGCACAAAAGATTAATTTTGACAAAAATGGAGTACACAAGCAAGTATGCTGAAATCCTCACAGTATTCCTACCTGATTTGTGCCAGAAGCTGATATTAGTAACCGCGGAACGAAATAATGTGATGCGTTAGGTGGATAGCTTTGATTACCTATCGTACTGGACTCACGTTCAAGTAACTCGCAACTGTCCAATTCATCCTCATTACTGAAGTGAAAATCAGCTTATATATTTGGAGGATGGTTATAAGAATAACAGCAATACAACTCTGACTGGTGTGTCAGTTGGTCTCTTAAGAATTCGACCAAATCAGGCATGAACCCTCAAACAAATAGATCAATCGTAGTGAATGAAGGGGCAAACAAGCGAGTGATTTATTCAGAGAACGAAGCAAAAATAACTGAAAACTAAACCGATCCGTCTTAATTATCCAGGCAATCAGCTACCAAATTCTAGCGTATAATATATTCCTGTCACACTAATTTTCTATATATTGATTTTACCTAATTCTTTACATCCAGACTTGCTCAGAAAACTTGATCCCGTATGTCCAAATAAATAGCTGTTTTAGTGGAAGTAAGCTCAGCTATGAGGGAGGGAGTTGACATGGCCACGGCAGGTCAGAAATTGTGCACCTGGATTTCTGCGTAAAGTGGTATTACAAAAGTACATGATGTCGCGCACCCGAAACTGCGTAATGGTCCGTGAGATCAGTAAAATCTAGGGACATAAGCTGGGAAAAGTGGAATGCTAGTGTCGGCTGGTGTGCTATCAAGCTTGATAGCTGACTTCTAAACAGAGTGCCAAGCAAATCAACAGCCTTCCGTTGGACAACCTGAATCGTTGGATTTTAAGTTTGGATAGAACTTGAAACAGACAGTACTAACTCACCAAATATTTATCATTTTTGCTGACCAGAATTGTTTAGTGATGAATTTCTCCTTACTAGCAACGTGCTGGGAAGAGTGATGGTACGTTGGACAAAAAAAAAACGGAAATCGCAGTCTAGATTTTGCAAATACCTACTGGACATTGAGCGGGAGGTTAGAAGTTCACAGATGGCGGTATTGGGTTTGCGTAGCTTAGAGCAAGTGACATTTGCGTGGACGGGGCCTGGTAAGCCTTATTAAACGGATAATGCTGTGTTCTCAGTTCATTATTCTGTCGTCAGGTTCTGCACAGTATTACACCGTTTCTTGATGAGTCAGATCGTTCCGTGGAACTGGGGCACAAAGTGCTGATTTCTTCTTGAAATTATTACGTCCACAATAGAAATACGCTTTGATCCCAGGTGGATTTCCCCCTTCAATTGAGTTAATCTGAACAGTATTCATGAGTTTTCGAAACAAAGTTTGGATGATGTTCATAGTAAACTCCTTTATTTTCTGAATACGCAAACATGTCTCCGGTTCACATTATATTGACTCCACAAAGTTTAGAAGTGATATGGTGATAAGATATGCTAGTTAAACGGGAAGGTGGAATGGTTCGGGCTTCAGGCAGTCGTATAATTCGTGGTGCGGTATTTTAGTTCACAACAAGTCATTTATAATATCCTACCGAGACAGTTGGGGATTTCTGTCCAATTATCTAAAGGATCTTATCGAGATGTTGAAGGTCAATCGTGGTTTTAATCAACAGACCATTCATTTATCAGTTGAGTGTGTTTTTGGCTGACATCAAGGAGTAATAATCCGATACCTTAGCGGTAACTATTGTACTCAAAAGAAGACGTGTCGTGGCGTTGTGATTGGCTGACCGGGTAATCACGTCACAAGCACTAAGATTAATGTCACTGACCCACCACGTTTGTTGACAGCGGACAAACTAATAATATCGCCATTAACTCTGTCTCAGAAACCGTGGCATGTTCACTCAGTGCAACCTTCCTCTGTAGGCCACACGCGTGTGCCGGTGATCAAGGCTGTTACGGTCTGTTACGGTCAGTTTGGATGATGTTGCCTCGCACGCGTGCATGTTGGCGACACTCCGGCCAACAGTTCACAATAATTCCCCAGCTGTTGGTGCACGACTGAATCACTCTGACCATTGTCAAGGTCCCTGTCGCATTGTCATTATGGTAATGCCTCTTCAACAACACTCAAAAAGGAGTCCGTTCATATGTTCAGATGTGGAAACCAGCATATTTCACACCACTCTCAAGGACTTGAATAGGCTAAATAAAGCCCATGGTTTTTGCAGCACACCGCGAGTTTACTCTATGGTGTAATGGGTTTCTGAGTATCCAGTCCAGTATCCAATCTCTCAAGTATGAGCGATCCCTGTGAAGTTTGAGACCTAACAACTACTTGGCTATTCAGCATTCAGTGACTGAATTGCTTTTTGCAAGTAGCAACAGGAGGCTTGAGAGCGGCACCTCATGCTTTATGAATTTTCGTATCCATATGGCAACCACATGGTCACGTGGTCGGAAAAATTTGCCAGATTGTGAATTAGACTTAAACTCAGTTCGTAGCATTAATTTCTCACAACCGTCTTCAAGTCACCTTCCGTAAAATTTCAAAACCACATGACGTAGATCTTAACTTTGATGAGCATGCTCAAGTTTGTAACACGACGATATGGCATACTGCCACAGATGCTCAGTGTACCAGTTGGCTTCAAAATAGTCAGGTAGTAAAAAGCAGATGGATTTCAGAAACAAACTTACCATAGCAGTGTATTCATACTAGTTAGGTCTATTTAGATACATTAGAAGACAAGGAGACACCATTATAAACGTCGGTAGAAAATGGTTTGCGACTGCGTAGCCGTGGAAGAGAGCTTGTGGAGGAAAGTAGGCAAATAAACGACTAGATTGGTTTTCATTGAAAGTCAAGTCCAGCCGTTGAGGACGTTCATGGTCTGGACGGACTAACTGCACAGTAAGTGGACATGCAGGGAAGATTGCGTAAACTAGCAAAAAGAGCAATAGGGAATAATAAAGTTTGTGCGTGATATGTGATTGGATGAACAGGGAAACAGAGGAGGGCGATTTCATGGACTGTAGTCTACCCGTTGAGTGTGTGTTGCTTTTTCCTGCAATGGAAGCGGAGCGGAAGAAATGCAGCGCTAAATCTAGGCAAGGCACGAAAACGGAATGGAAGCGGAGAGACACTGTGCTTGTGGCTAAATTTTGTGCGACGTTCAAAATCAATAAGGCACGTGGTTTAATTTAGCTGCAGTTGGAAGGCTGGCGAGTGGTACAGTAAATCTAAAAGTGCACTCGATGGAAGTAATCACACTTCCTCCTCCCGTATACGTGGTTTGTCTTTACCCGCAGCGGTATCGGTTTGTGGTGACTCAGAACTTACAATAAGCTGAAAATATGAACAGTTAGATGAGTTAGACTGAATCACATAGTGTGAATTACTAAGACTGAGACATATAAATGTTTATATAATTGTACTGCTTTGCGCGGGAATGAACACTTTTAAATTGTGCTGCGTGAGATTTAATAATGATCTGTTAGGTCGTTAAAAATGGAAAAAAGTTGCAAAGGCTTCAAGAGGCGATTTTTTCGAGGAAATCTATTCATGGCTGTGCGAACGACTTTGCCTCATGGTACTAACATCGTAAAAAGTAGACCGAACAAATGATCAATCTGTAGCTCTCTTTCAGTTCAAACTCAATCAGGAGAGCCGTTAACTATTTCAAGCTCTGATACAAAATCACCTCTGCATTAGATCTGATGTGACCAAACCAAACTAGTGGATGGTGGCCAAACATTGCTGTAATTTACCCGTTAGATCATGTAGATCCCCGCATTCTTCTGATGAATATTTAGGCATAGGGCACTGAGGGTCTTTATTAGTACTCATCGTAACGAAACCCCGAAAAAGAACCGAGAAGTTGCACCTTTTCTTAACGCGGTCAAGATCAACCTAGGTGACACGAGGCGTCACGCAAGGGTCGGTTAATGATCCGCGACGAATTTATATCCCTATAATCGGCCTTCTCTCCGCACTCAGCTCAGAATTTGTATTGCTCATGGAAGGCGTAAAATCCAAAGTGGCAATGGCGCCTCTGAAGGAAAACCACCTCTTGTTGCCATACGATGATAATGTGTATAGGTGAAAAACTTGTCTGCAGGACAGTCAGGTGACCTGCTTCGAGGACAAATGACAGAGGTACTATGGAATTTTCGATGTCTAACCTACTCAGAGGCTGTTGATGTATTCGTTGGCCAACACCGGTTACTCCAGGGAAACCTTATTCCTGTCTACGAAACTTGGAATATGCAAAAACAATTTTTCGCAAGCTTTTGCAGAAACCGCCTCTTGGTCGCAAACCGAAGACACCTAAAAAGTTCAATTGATCAAATTGACGAAATGACTTCTTGCTACGGATATAACTATCTTGGAGTGCCCCGTACATTGTGCAGTTTAATCTTTATCAGTCACCATCATCATGAAGCCACCCGGAGACAATTTTTAGCACCTACATTGCCGAATGTTATGGTGATTCGTTTTTGTAATGACCCCTTCTTAAGGTTGCTGAAATCCGTTCCAGGTTGCTGAAAATCCGTTCCAGGTGAGTCTCTCGAAAAACCAAATTAGTTTGCAAATGAGTGTATATTCGGTGATTCGTTCCTATTCACCGCGGTGCCACTTTCAAGCATGGCCTTCTATGTTCAAACGTACCCATCAAAACACTAATAACTGAATTCAAACAAAAACAAAACTCGGCGCTGAGTACACCATCGGTCAACACATCAGGGTTTGCCATGTTTCCAGAATGGAAAAAACATACCGCGAAGAGCCTAAATTATATGACAGCAATAATTATTCGTAAAGGTCGGCTGGTACTGTTTTGGAAAGAACTTAAACCATAAGTACGTACCCATAAGTTACATTCTGAATATGTGACGAAACTGTGACCGTTATTCGATATGTGAAAACTTTTGATCACAATGTTTGTTGACTACAGTTGTTCAGAAGGAGTACGAAGTTTGTCTCAATTAACTCGATATTTCGCCCATGACCATTATTTTGTGAGATGGGCTCGGCAACTCTGGGGCCTATGTGAGGTATCAGAAACTGGTGAATGAGAGGTACACCAGTCTTCATCCAAGTTTCATTAGGTTTCATCAGAACACCCAGTAGATAATGACCTGAGTTGAAGACTGTTCTATTGTTGCTAACCTACCACACATTCGGAGGTCTCATATTAATTTTTATCATGGAGCAATCACATGTCGGTACCAAAGAAAACAACTGAAGATTCAAATAGCTTTGATAAATCACATTATCGGAATAGTAACGAGGGGTTGCCTCCAGATGCCGAGAGCAGGCTTTCTGAGTTATCATGCCGACATATGTAAGCTCTAAAACGCTAACAGATTGATCATTCCTTCAAGGTTCACTCGATACAAGACGAAATGACCAAAAATTTACTAAGCAGGAGATAATCCTGCTCCAGTTTTCGTCAGATTTGATTCGGTTTGTAAAGTCTGTGCCGCAAAAGTGTGGCGTACCATAAGAGTCATCTGATTAACATAGCATACTGCTGAAAGGGGGAGTTACTCTGGGATTTATCTATAGATTCTTCAAAATCATGACAAGATAATTATGGATTGTGATTCAAATACACAAATATATTATGCTGTGAATACTCCAGCTTCGTTGGGTCAGCTGAAGAATGACGACATCACACTTTGTGCCTGCATTTACCGCAGAATGAGCAGCGTCGCACTGCAAGAGAACTGCTTGACCAACAAAAACACTGAACGATTTCTTGATAAAATTTTTTTGGTGTGGTTCAAAGAAAATCCGGGTTTCACTTGAAAATTTAGTGAGCAGAGCGAAGAAGGTTACTAAGTGATAAAGACATCGAAAACTAAATGCTACGGATGTTAAGAAGCCATTGAGTTTTGTTTCGGTCGTCAAGTCCCTCTAAGAAATGCTATGTATTTGGAACGCATGAAGGTAAAAGACACTTCTTGGATGACTGTAGCGCGCAAGCATCCCAAAGCTGAGTGAATCTTCATGCTCTCGGATGTAATAACTGCAAGTGTCTCATGATATTTTGTGTAACAGATAGGCAGAGAAGTAACGGTGGAATATGGCCTTGAAGTACTTACCAATCAGCTACATCGGTTTCTATGTAAATACTGAGTTGAAGCAACGATATTTCACCGCAAAAAGTTTCAGTGTGTACCGCTTACCCAATGAAGTTATCATTGGTCAATGAGAAACTGGTTTTCAGGGAGTTTCCCACTGCCCTAGCAAACATTGTGGGTCTCAGGATAAGAAACATATATAGCTGCGATCACACTAGTATATTGCATAGAATGAAAGCAGCAATCGTGATTTAATGAGTGCTGATGACAGTGAAAACTCTGACAAGTTGGGTAGACGGTATTAAAGATATAGTAGCCTGGCGATGCTCAGTAGAGAAGGTTTCACACCCGGAAAAATGTTTATTTTTGTACCACGTTTGGAATGTTCTTGAGGGAATCTTTCTTCCTCTTCACGCTCAACGCAGTCTTCAACGCTTTCTGGTGGATGTCTAAGTGGAGTACACTACCAACCGCTGTTTGGTTGGCATATCCCAGTAAAACTAAGTGCGAGTTATTCAAAATGCTGATCAACCGCTCATCGCCAAGAGGGAGTTCACAGATTTGACCTTTCTTGCTGTGAAAGACGCGTACTGCTTCTTGGCTTCGAGTGTAGGATGAACTCTTCATTGAAAACAAGCTTATATTTGAATGGTCGATGGTTTGCTCACTGAGCTGAACGAACAAATCAGCGACCATCTACGCTACCTGAGCTACAAATATTCTCCTCAGGTTTGAATCTCCGCTGCTGAATAAAAATCACCATTCTCGGGACTGACAACTCTTTCTGGTCCTCTATAGAGGAGAATGTCGGTAGCTCAGGTAGCGTAGATGGTCGTTGGCTTGTTCGCTGAGCTGGGCAATTTGGTTGCAAACGTTTCATCATCAATCGAGGTGACATCATGAGTGCGTAGTTGTGCGTAGCGGTGGGTTAGTGGTTGTGCACAACCACTTGTCACCTCGATTGGTGATGAAACGTTTGCAGCTAAATTGTCCAGCTCGGTGAACAAGCCAACGATCATCTTTCCGGTCCGTTCTACAGTAATGATTTATGCTTCGCGCATGCAAATTTGGTCACGATCGTAAAAGCCGCAGCACGACCTGCGGCACGACCTGATTCTCGGTCCGTTGCCTCTGCACACTGGCATTATTTCTAAAGGGGAACCTGGGGTGTAGATAGATATAGAAATATCTATAAAGTGTCTCGCTGCACAGTCTGCGCCAGATAATACTCGACTTCATCGCTTCTGGAAGATCGTTGCTGACCAATGAACCACGGCGGTTCAACTAACTTCTAATCGCAATAAAATAGCGTTTCCAACAATTTCCGATGAATGGAAAGGAACGTGCAATCAATAGATCAAGCTAAAAAGGAAGCAAACTAAGCAGTGTCGTAATACATTTTACCTTATGCGCAAAGCAGCAGCCGAAAGTCTAGAGCTTACCGTGCCATCTGGACTATAGAGACTTGTGTGCACTAACGTCCCAGTTCCCCAGTTTGCATACGGTCCTTCAAAATCAAACATTCCGGAACCGGGACTCATTTTTCCAGCTGCCCAAATCTAGAGTGAAGAAAAGAGCGTTAGAACGGAGGAATTAGGAAGAAAACTGATGCAATAGATCAAGATACTGCAGGGAATCAAACCATCGATGATCAGTGAACTTTTTTATTTTTACGGACAAAGAAAGGGTTGGAAACAAGAGTTCCGCGCTGCACACATTCCGCCAGACTTTAGGCTTACCTCAAAAAAAATGAACCAACGGATTCTAAATATTCCAACATTATGAACAGTAATGAAAATTCCAACCGACATTTCGACCTGCCGACTTATGCGGAAAAAACGGTTTCTTTTTTACTAGCGATCATCATCACCGTGCACCTAACAAACTGCCAGAATGGCTCGAACCCACGACCTACTGACCAGGGGTTGAAGAGTAACTGTCTGGCCAATAACAAGTGAGCAGCGGTCAAAACCCACACCAAGAGTTCAGGTACTAGCTAACTTCTCGAGTGACGATTTCTTGGAAGGAAGGTTTGTCGGTGGTGCGCAGAGATTTGGAAAGCCCATCCGAAATTCCGTCCTGTATGGGAGGTGATTCGTAACAGTGATGAAACAGTGCCTCTCGGCCTTTTGGTATAGGACAGCTGGAATTCCTAAAGCCTCTAGATTTATGGCATCATTTGGCTTTCACTAGATGAAAGGTAATATTGTTTTTGCCGCACGTATTCTACAGAGTTCACGAACGGGGTTCTTTTTTGAGAATGTGCGCAGGTCATGGTGCGCCTGATGTCTCAGTGAAGGGAGGACCATTCTATGCTGTGAATATGTATGTCAGAAAAATTCATAAAGGCTTTAAACTTATTTTTACCCGTACGTTGCTCAGGAGAGACCGGGAACGATGAGCTGTAAAACAGTAATTTGTGACATGCAGTCCAGTTTTGAACTCTATTTAAGGGCACAGCGTGAAGCGGTCTACTTTGTAGATGAGAGTTCCTTGAACCAATAATGATTACACGCTTCAAGCAGGTATTCTGTCCTCAGAAAGACCTGGAAGTTACTCAGAGGTTAAAATGACTTCACTGACTAGTCCCATATAAGCGCTGTTACTAGATCTGAAACTCTTCTTTATATTTCCTTTTACAAGTACTATGGCAGGTGGAAGAGGTGTGTTCCACCTGCTACACTGTTCAGACCAAAGACCGATATAATTTATGAAACGTAAGATCATGGGTACTTCGCACATAGTATTATTTTGTTTGTTTTAGGCTGTGGTTGCCTGAAAATCACACTTATTGATTAGGTCGTCTGCGTGAGATGCATCGTCAGCGACGGTTTCTATTCTGAAATAAACTGCACAAGGAAGTGTCACGAAAGCGTAAATAGTTTTTACGTTCTCCTAGGCAGCTCCTTCAGGTCAGATGATTTTCTAGCTTAATACTAGGGGAATAGTTATCTCACTATAATCGTGATCAGGAAAAATCCTAATTGACAGTCTATAATAAGGTTTGTGCTTGAGTAAAGGCAGCTAGACTAACTGGTTTGCAGTGAATTGCGTGGCGGTATTATCCAGTTCACTTACTCGGAAACTAGTGTGCGCCGGGATAATTCGACTGGGAAGGGTGTATCGTGTGATTTGACGTCCCTGATCAATGTTTCGAATGAGACACCATCCCGCAAGGTTGACTTCCTGAAAAGCCACGTAAAACAACGGCATGCAATAATTCATGAACACTAGTAACTAAACTGAAGGGTGCGCGCCGACGACTTTGTGGGTGTAAATGAGAGAAGTAGTGGTTAACCCAAAATGTAACCACATTTTCCTGACCCTATAAAAGCATCGGCACTTGATTCTACACAACTACTCAGTGGACAATAAGCAAAATACGATTCGTGCGGATTCGTTTATAGCAGATCACCATTTGTTACTGATGCAATCCCGTAACTAGCAAAACAACGTCTACCGACCAGCTTTGGTAGGGTAACGGATCAATTGATAACAAACCCCACACCTCAAAATCCTTTTGCTCAGTTTCCCTCTATACTGATATACTTAACTCTAATTCGTTCCTAACAACTCTACTCAAGCGTTCCCTAATTTGACAGATTTTCAATGGTGTCTGTTGCAGTTTACCCGACCATACTATACAGTGCCATACTGCATTATGTTGTAACGGAAAAACTGCACCAATATATAATTTCAATATTACATATTCTTGTTACGCCTTGCCATATTTTCAGCGCATTAGGTTAGACACTGTCCCATTCAAAAGATTAGGGCATATCATTATCAACCGCATACATTCAATAACAAGAGAGCTATATGAACCACAAATCTCTAGTACGTAGTTTTTCAAGTCTAGTAGTTTGTTTGGGTAAACTAGAGAGCCATTCTTTTAAAGGAGCATGTGCACAAACGTAGCTCCACTGCAACCGGTTTCTTTCTTTCTGAAAATTGAACTACCTAATATTAGTTCTAGTGAGGACGCACATGCGGCAGTAGCGTATCGAGCGCACTGATTTGCACTAGCTAAGATGCGATAGCCAAGAAAGCGGCCCTCGCAAAACGGGAATAAAGTACTAATGGTAAGAATGTCATTCAGATACCTTTGGAAAACAACACAAATCGTACGTCAGAGATTTGAAGTCCTCCTGAGCAGATGGACCCTTATATATTTTCCTGAGGGCGTCAGTTGTTCATCAGCTTCTTCAAGGTTTGTTTCTAGAATTACAAGTACAGACGCAAAACACTACTCATACGGTTACTGAAGACACTTTAGTAGTCTATGATCGTTTTCCTTTTTGAGTTCATTAGGTAGGCCTAGTCACCAAGTTCTCGTCAGACTTATTTTCTATTTCAACCCAAACTAGACAGAATTTGATGAAATCTCTCATTTGCATACGATTCGGGTTTTGAAAAGATTCTCATCTGAACCCGACAGAACCTCTTGTTTGTGATAGTACGCTTTAAAGAAATTAAAGACAGCTCCAGCCGCACTCATTTAGACCTGTCAAAACGGAACTCATATGCAAATGAACGTATTTGTCGTGTCCAACTATGGTTTGGGATGAGGCCTACCAATAGGTGTTCTGTTTAAGTCAGCTGCACAAAAAAATCTAGTAAAAAATACGGCTGGCATTTTAACCAAATTGCAAGAAGACGAGATTATGCATTTTCCATGTCGTTTCTGGCGAAAAAACGACAGAGTTCAACCACTTAGGTCTACTCAAGTGTAATCACCCTTGTTCCCGTCTAAACACACGTCAGAATGCACTATTAACAGCGAATGAGTGTCACCTGTGTTTTTTTTTACCCCGACCCTAACTTGCTAATCAAGTTTCAATAAGAAATCTGCCTAACTTCCGTTGTGTAGAAAATTGTAGCTCTGATGAGTGTGTTAGTTGTTAATCAGGTGGCCGTTGATCTATCGGCCGAGACATTGACTTGTAAACGTTTCGTCACCATAAGAGGAGACATCACCAGTGAGCATTTGGGTGCCGTTGGGAACAGATCAACAGCCACCTAATCAAGAACCTTCCACAGCAGTTTAACCCATGACTGTAAGCAACTCAAATAGATAAGGTCACGATGAAGCATAACCATTTGTTATGTCACATCATTGTATCAGGGATAAAAGCAAAACCATTAGAAACTTACAATTTCGCCGGTATTGGTTATCTCTATGAAGGTTCCATTGGGCGAACATTCGGACAAGGCCAACTGTCCCCGATAGTAGTTCTCACTCTGACTCAGATTAACTTTCTCACCTGTGGTTACAGAACGATTGAGAACCAATGAAAAACTTGAATAGTTTGTTTCCTTGGTAGTTTGGTTAGTTTTGCGATGATCCAGTCTACTGTTTCTTACGATATTGAAGTGAGTTTGAACAATGTAAAAAAAGCCTCAGTCAATCCGTTACAGCAGCTGCAATGAATTCTAAAATTGTTTGAACCTCGTAATTAAATAACCAGGGAGCAGCATATATTGTCCATAATATCCGACAAAATATCCACACAAGTAAACGGATATTGATGTTCTCATGAACGTCAGTTAAAATAGTTAGTGCTGCGATATTTGGCAATTTTTTAATGGAGGTTCCGTTTTTTAGGTGAGTACAGTCTACCCAAAAAGTCCAGGGTACACTGTACAGCCGTTTAATCCTCATTTGCAGATACCAACAGTGCGTATTTCACAAAACTGCAGTAGAGCTTTTTGAACCCTCGACCTCTACCAAGGTAGGGAGGAAGGCCCGTCGCCGTGAAGTCGTTTATTAGCAAACATCAACTAAACAGATACAAACTCCTGGACAGGAAAGTATGCATCTCATACGCAACTTAATTTAAGAAACTGAACATCCGATGCGACTTCTTGAACTTTCGTGGATATTCATTGACTATCACGCAAGTGTAAACGAATGCTGCAAAGCAGTTTCACAGGTTCCGTCATAAACCCCATGGGGTGGACCTTCCATTTGGCGCGAGACGGACTTACGAGAAAAACACACACTACTCGCATGCCTCGCATACCGTTACAGCCCATCCAGAAATCAGCAGTGCGCATTCCACAAAACTCCGGTAGAGATTTTTGAACCCGCTACCTCTCAACTATTAGTGGAAACAACTAAACGCTCCTGGCCGAAAGGTTAAGTGTCTAAAGAGGTCGCGAATTTGGAAATGTCTGAGATGTCTAGAGAGGTCCGCCAGTGGTGACTTTCATCATAGGTTGAATTCATTTACTTAAAGAAATCTTTATTAAATAGGTAGGTTGGAAGTTTGAACGTTATTTCATCCAGTAGCTTACTGCCATTCCACGCGCATATTTAGCTGATGATATATCTTTTTACTTGTCAGAGTATATCTTCAAATTCCGGTTTTCCGTGCACACTGAGACAAATTTGACATATGTTTTAATCCGGAGACCTATAAGTCAAAATCTTTGAACAGGATTCCACTTACACCTTGTTCACTTTATTAGGTTGACTTGTACCGTGACGTCGTTTATGCTTTAGGCCGCTTCAACTCTCAGGAGGGTGACGCAGTCAGTGGAGTAAGAGAAACCTTTGATAGGAGGACGGGTGCAGTACAAAATCTCGATTTACGGCACATGGTACCATACAAACTTCTTCGCGTAAAGAACTTGTATATCGGTCTTACCGTGGATCTTATCGTATCTGAAGAGAGCGATTGCGATAAATGCCAGCTGCCTCATCAAAAGATTTTCTGAGCAGTGTGGAATTTCTTAAACATTGCGGAACTCGGGAATTAGGGGATACAATCGCGAAGGGCAAGGTTATGTCAAAAAGACCATAAACTGCCCAATTTTATAGGGCTTCGAAGAATTGCCATATGTCTGACTACCTTTGTAGGTAATAATGCCAAATAGTGACCCGTTTTTCAGGGAGTTCAATCAGTCAACAATGACGAAATAACAGCGCTTTACTTGTAATGCCAATCTCCCACAAACAAAATTTTTATTTGTATGAATCAAGTGAAGTCAGTAATATCTGATTTTTTAAGTTTGAAAATCCAAAAGATTTAATTTAATTTACATGGCCCGTTTGATTAAACGCTAGCTTTGCAGCAAGTAATCAATTTTAAACATACTCCATGAGATATATGTTATCAGTTTCTGAGGCCAGTTTCTTCATTCAGTTTTATTTTGTTATGCGAAACCCAGTGGAAAATCACACAGAGTATCGTGATCACCAATCTTTGGAAACAGTGTCTGCAGATCACCGCGACAGCAATCTTAGTTACTTTGTTAGTGATCATACGACAGAGCTGAATCAAGGTAAACCTGATATTGAAACGCATAAAATAGATATTTTAACTTACTATCAGAATAGCTGCAAGACAGCTGCTGACTGCCTGAAACAGAGAAACAATCAGGGTGAATATGATACATGTTTCTAAAGGTGACAGCTTTGTAGTATGCTGAGTCAGAGTTATGGGGGTAAGATATGGACACTCAGATTAGAAAAGTAGACTTCTTTATAGTTTTAGATTTTCTGGTGGACAACACTCCATCTCATACCCGGTCAATGAACTCACGCAACCACACTTCATACCGACGCACACAAACTGCTTCCAGTTTCTACCCTCATGGAGCAAGCGAGCCTATACGGCGTGAAATCTTGTAAAATTGGGTGTGTATACCCCTTGAAATGTTTGATTTTTAGCACGTCTTTCGTCAAGGAACAAACCCAGTCTGCATGCGTAGCCCCGGCTGGGGCTCTGCTTGGTCATTCATTCATACTAAAACTAAGTGGCAAGCCCATTTGCTTAAACGACTGTATACAGCAAATAAAAGCCCAAGTAGTGGTTCAAAAATTTTATCCTTGGAGGTGGAAGGTCTGGTACGAAGGCACTTCACGAGATGTGGCCTAAAGTAGTGATGAACCATTGTTGGTGAAGTGCTTTTCCAGCAACCCAAGAGTGCCGTACATCACAAAGGTAACGACTCTACTTCGGCTTTAGCAAAAACCTGAAATATGCATTAAAATCAAATAAGACTCTACTGGGAAATAACCTCCGGACAAAAAATATTTCCCCAGAATGCAGGGAGGAACGACAATATTTTTTGACCCGAAGCATCTGGGCACGCACTGTTGATTATTTGTAACGATTCCACACCTGTAAATTACTTATCTTGGTGCCAAACAGTTTTGAACACAGTACGTTGAGTCATGTTTCATGTTGCTCAGTGGGTTTTTTAAACCTTTTGTGGCAACGATTTGTATTCAAACCCACCCGGTTGCAGGCAGATCAGCTTAGGTAAGTAAGATGATTTTGAAAGTGTCAGCAGCCGCTCCAGAACAAATTCGAATTGAAACTGCGGTTAATGATTCGGAGAGACATCCTTTTTACACTTTATGTGAGGCTGAACTACACCATATTCCGATTCACCACGTGCTTTGTTAGCAGAACGGGTGTCTGGTGACCGTGTTCCACGTTTTATCACTTCTACTGCTGCTGTGTGCTCAATCTCGTTTTGTTTTCACCTGCAAACAGAGTTGGGTGGGTCTTTGTTAAATTTGATAGTAAAATATTTACTTGTTTGCTCGAAAAATAACAGAAACGGCGTAGTTAGCTTGAAACCTCGTCTTTGAACAAATGGCACTAGTGTGTCAATTTGGGAAAAAATGGCAGTTTGACGAACATGTTTTCGGCGGTCAATAACAAACCAACCAGATTTATATAAGATTATAGAATTTTGACAGACCCTGCAACTCATATTCAAGACAGATAACGTTGTTTATTTGCAGCTGAACTACAAAGTTTAGATGACGAACAAGGTAAAGTGAACTTTTCAAAAGTTTGCTATTTATGCTGACTTCTGTCATCTTAACACTTAGAATTAAAAAAATGAACTTATTTACTGCCCTATCCAGGATCGCATTCCAGTGTTTTCATAATTCATAGTGCATATCAAAAAAGTAAAATGATTAGATTAAATTTGATATATTGTTTATGACTAAATGCAACACATAGATAGGCATAACTACCTACACTAAAACGGGTTAATGGTTAGCAAAGACGGTGAGACTGTGTTAGATATCGCACTACTTTGGAGCAATAAGTAGCGTTAAACCTGCTATAATTAGCGGAACAGCGTTCGGATATGACTTCAAGGTTTTTCTTGTTTGCAAGCATTGTTGTGATAAATGAGGGCAAAACGACGCTGGTTTTCATTATTTTCGAAGTGGCAACTATATTTCAGGTCTGTTTTCCGAGGTGATTCTCTTCGTTATCTTGCAGGAACACACTGTCTGATAGAACTGGACGCCGAGTCGTCGGTTTACTCGTTTCTGTTGGCACTAAAATTGAAATGTGAAACAACACAAAAAGACCGTTTTATCATATCTCATCATCAAAGCCTGACGTACACTGTTGTTTTTAGATTCTCATTCTCTGTATTTTTTTTGTAAATCGATCAACCTCGCACTTTACTTCAATATGTGATTCCGCAAGGTTCTCCACTTAGGCTTCCGCATCATACCCATCAAGAGGAAAATAACGTGGCGGCAAATACCACGTAGCATGTGCTGTTAAACTGCAAAAAGTCCAACGGATGTCAACTGTTTGACGACAAGCCGCTCTCTGATTGAGACAGAACCCGTCTTTTACCATATTGCCATATGCCGTAACAGTTTCAAATCTATTAATCACCTCTAGTTACATGGCTTCGTAATTAAAGTATTCTTGGTCACTTTCACGCATTTCTCGAAAGCAAATTTTCTGATCGGTTCAAACAAAAGTCTGGAAGATTATAAAGTTTCAGTTGAAATTTCAATACGATTTCCGATTTGTTTTCTGAATTTAACAGAAAACATTATAAAAAAACTTGCATTTTAGTCCTTTTTTGAAGTGGTAGACTGAAAATTGTTACGGTTAGTGACCTAACTGATCCAAATGATTGAGGAATAATATAGTACATTCTAGACACAAGGACCAAATTAACGCCATACATATTTGTGTCGAAAAATTACTCTTTCCAGAACGATATTTTATACAGGAAACCCACAGAACCTCTAAAGGCTGTGTGGAAGAACATCAATTTTCATGGCAGTATTCGTTCGCCATAACTCCTACGTTTTACGTTATCAACACGGTTTCAGTGCAGTCTAGTAGAGTGGGTGGTCATTGTAGCTCGCACACTTCAAGGTGACCGCTATATTACTCCTTCCGTCAAAAAAGCGCGTTTAGCAAATTCAAATAGGGTTGTTTAATCCTGTCGAGGCTGAGAAACGGGAACTGTTGCACATGATTCGCATACTGAGCTAGAAACATTTCATCTGTGTGTGAGAAATTAGGCGAACTTCTTGAGAACGAAACGAAGTTGTCTTTGGTTTACGAACCTCATGATTGATGCGTTTCAGCAAAACGAGGCATATGTTTTAGTATTACTCAGCGTCCGTCATCTCGGTTATGATGGACTATTTTGAAACAGATCTAGGGTCATTTGAGGGTCACTGGAAAAGATAATTATCGCCGTGATCATAAAAACCAAAGTGGTTATTTCAAACCCAATATAACCACTGGAGTAGGTCTCACTGTACTGTCTTATGCTTAGGCTATATAGCCAGATTTTGATAAGGTAAATGTACAAGGTTCCAATGAGCGGTGCTTTGGGCGTGACCAAGGCTAAATTACCGACTAAGTGAGACCAATGTGGGTTCGCCGATATAGTACGCTTGTGAATCAGCCGTGCTTAGTTCATGAGTTGTTTAAATGAACAGGTTAGTGGTTAATCCGGATAAGTAACAGTCGCCATCTCCAAAGTAATCTTTCTTTCCAGGGCGAAAACCACATATTTGGGAGAAGGATGAGATAAAATATGTGGGTGGATATCTGGGCAGAAAATGTGTTTTTGTTCCAGAGAAGTTGCTTTTCCGAAACGCAGAACCCATCACTATGATGTGACTATTCTCCAAGGATCTTCTAGAGTTATACCAGGTTTAAAGAATAAACTTGTCATGTTATTCTACTGTTCAGGTACAGTTGTTTACATTATATCAGTTTGTTGTTTTTCTTCTAAAGCATTATACTAGGACACGTTTTAACTAAAAAAGCCCTGGATTTCGGTATCCTCAGGAGCAGTAAATCCCAGATACCTCCAGTTTTTATATGTTGTTTCTTAGAGGATGTTGCGTCGTTTGAACAAGGGTTCTCCTGTCCTGGGGCAAATATTTCGGTAAATCCACGCTAAAGGAAAGAGCACCGGGTTGAATTTGCACTCTTAATAATGCGGTGCTCACCAGCAGTACATATCCTTGGTGGTGCCGGGATTTGAACTCCGATATATGTAACATGCGAGGCCAAACGTACTCTGAATGCACAACTAAACAGGTAAATGTTTTTACGCTTGAGCGATTTGGTTGGTTTTCCCGATCTAGTCAGCAGTAGAGGTGTAACGGTGATAATACCGATGGGAAAGACATGCGAGTAGTATGTTTTCTTCTTGTAAATCCGCTTTAGTCTCTTGAAAATGGAGATCTGTTGCGAAAGTTGTGGAGTCGCTCTGTAGCATTTGCTTGGATTTGAGCAACAGTCAATCAATATCCGGGAAAGTTCAGGAAGACGCGTTCAAGAGAAGATGAATGTTCAGTTTTTATAAACAAGTTGTATATGAGTGTCTTGCTTCCCTGTCCAATAGTCTGTAACTGGTCAGTTGGCATTTTCTAATAAATAACTCCTCAGCGAAGGTCCTCTTCCTCTCAGCGGCAGCTGTCACTCGAAAATAATCGGCTACCTGATAGTTTTGACCAGACTGAGTTATATGAGATATACCACGTGTAGTCAGCTGATGTGGATAATGAGGAACTGAAATAGACAGGACTTTGGCTGTTCAGCCGCCGCAATTAGATGCCGTGTCTTAACGACCAAAGTTCACTTCTTTCGAATAGTTCAAATCGTTTGATTTTTCCGATTAAACTGGGTGGTTTAGCTTGTGGTGTATCCAACTAGGAAAGTTAGCCTATCAATTTATTGAATTGTGTTGAGAAACTTAGTTTTTTCGTTCACCGCGGCTTACCGTGAGTAAAATCATAAATTTTACTGTATGATAACTATTTATCTTATGCCGCAAGTTGGAATGGCATTGTGCAGGTGTTTCCTACTTTATAAGAAGGACCAGTGCTGCTCCTATGCTGAATAGCGGGATAATCCGAAAGCCGTATCAATTTTACTAACAGTTGGACAGTAAAATCTGGTCAGCCTACCACAAGTTGCTGTATCTGCAGTGCGATACGTGAAACGTTTCAAATGTCCCTGGTGAAGTTCGCATTGGTGGCGACACCTAAAATGGCAAGACAACTGTACAGGGTTTCTGAATTTCCCTTAACCTGATCTGACTCACAAATTAACAG